AAAAAAAAACGCATAACTCGGAGTATCCATAGAAATATGGGCTTCAAAAAAAGTAGTAAAATCAATGGTTGGAGAGAATATGACAATAAAATACCATGGAAGTATTATTTGACACATATTCGAAGCGCGGCCAACGAGCACAGCTGACTACAGTAAGCTGCTTCCGGGCAACGTGTGGGTCCCGGTGCGAATGCAACCGTCCGCCTAGGTATGTCGGTTAAGCCGATTTTACGTGTCTATTACGCCCTATCTATTTGGTTTTTTGATCCGGGAACGTTCCTTCAGCTATCCTTGAGGTTCACAGGTTCATCTCGGGGAGAATTCTCAGAAACCATTGCTCGTGAATTTCTTCACGATTGGAAATGTACTAAGATCAATGACCTTCAAACGGTAGTGGAGGAAATGACGAATAACATTTATAATGTAATGGTTTTTACCGACTGAACACCGTACCGCAGTAATCCACTGCCGAAAAGTAGGCAAATGGTGAAGATGAAGACAGAAAGGGCCGCACATGCCAGGCTGTCTCGAATGTAGAGCATCGCCGTCATTGTGATGAGATGAGCACTCAGAAATACGCATAAAAGGACGATCGCTGTCCGTAAAATTGCCACCGGCCAGACGATGTTTGAAATGCTGAAAGGGACCATTTCAACAAGGTTCACTTCACGATTATGGTGCTTCGACAGAAATCAAAGATGCAGTAAGCAGAATGTGGTAAATGAGACAAAATGGAAGCCGTAGCTGGTCGTGTGCCTAGGTTTATTTCGTGATTATTAGTCAGAATCATGTTAATCATTCAATTGTATAATCATCTGGGAATACCGGCAACCAGCATGATTTATCCATTTCATCCCCAGTTTTTATTCTAAACCCCTTTCGCATTCTTCAACAAATTCCCATATTGTATTCCACCCCACAGCAATGAAATAGGTGGAGGTGGGTGCTGTGACTGCGAGGGTACGGGACTCCTCTGACTGACAAATCAGCGAGCGACAGTTCAATTGCCAAGAAACTCACCAAAGAAGAATAGCAGCCGACAGCAACGACGACAAAACGTCAATGCCAAAAACTGTACACATATAACTCAGGAACGATAGGCTTTTATTGTAGATACAGTCGCAATTTTCGGCAACACTGAGAGACAGTAGGCCTTCATCTGAAGCAAGTGCTTTGAAAAATATCCTAAAGTGATCAATACATGAGTAACCTACAGCAGGTGAGAGCCAGCAAAGTACTGGTACAATAACTGATAAGTAGAGACAATTCAAGTATTCTGAATGAGGTATAAGGAGAGATCCATGAACCAGATAGAAGGTTTGTGCTGAAACAATACATATTGGAACAAGACTCATCCACCTGCTCACAGTTGAGTTTGTAGTTATCGAAGATAGACCTTCCGAGCTTTTTAGAATGGTCTCTTTCGTATTCTGAAGTGTCCCATGATTTCGACTATTCTTCTGTCCTATGCATCTCGCCCTCCTTGACTTTCATAATTCCATCCCTCAATGGAGATTCCCCCAGCGGCCTTATAAACCCTCAAGGGTACTACCAAAGCGAAGGGGAAAACGAAATTACCTGAATAGAGCCGTAACTAGCATAAGAAGTGGAAGTAGAGCGATCCTGAGGAGAAGAGAGCATTGCCATGAGGTTATTGTCAGGAATGAACGCCTTAAATAACTTTGGAACAAAATTTTTATTTGAAATTTGGTAACGACCGTGATAAGGAGCTTCTGTGAAAGGATTACAAACCTTACTAAAACAAAAAACTTTGTAGTAGCTGACGATCTGCCCAAAAAGCATAGCGCTACGGTGCCACCATCGTCGGTTTCAATTTGCCGAAACCTCGAAGGAGGCAAAGGAGGCGATTGGGTCTGAAGTGAAAATTTAGAGCATCAGCGGAAGAATATATGTCATTAAAAGCTGCAAATCTAACAAGGTTGGCGAGTTTGAACGAAAACTTCGGACGGGACTCGAACCCGTACCTGGATAGCACAAGCACGGGTTCGAGTCCCCGAAGTTTTGTCAATAACTCGCCAACCTTGCGAGATACACAGAAGAGCGCTTCCCTAAAGGAAGCTCCGACCTGAATCGACCAGAAAGTGCAAACTTCGTCCGCAACTGGACTCACCTTAAACAACTCAACCATTCGAAGTGCTTGGGCTTGTGTTCGGTCGAAGCCACTTTTTGTCTCGTAGCTTAATGTGGCCAAGGACACTGCAAAATTTTAAGTGTCTGTTATTTAGAAAGCTCTATTCAGCCCCGTCTCATGGTCTTCTCATGACCTGTTGAGAGCTCCCCCAAACATGCAAGAAATCGAATCGCAGTCGGCAAAGTTGAAACTTACGATAGTACATAGCTGGATTCTCATTTTCTGGGCACGGTAAGGCTACATCTTGAAAATATGTGGGCAAATTTTTTATACGTCCTGGAAAAAATGAATTCGGTATACATTTGTTTTTGTGTGCTATTCACAATCATTGGAGAGGGTCTTATCCGCAAGTTTTGATAATATAAACACTCTAAGCTAACCTAAGTTCACTACCACATCCACAGTCATTACTATTATATTATGGCGTCTACATGGGATTAAAGGAACTCGTAATTATTTAGACATGAACTAGAACTTTCTCGGTTCTTAGGTGAGGCTTTCATCAGCGGAACACTCTCCACATGTTAAAAAGGACAGATTTTTCAAAGGGCTCAACTCAACCGATTTCACGGATCACATCCATGTTTCGCAGAGAGGAGGGTAAATAAGTAGAGGAGAAAACAAATCATCTCTCAGAGTAAATCCTTAGATTAATTACTTTTACGGGCCGATCTCGTGCGCTAAATGATGATTTCTATAAAACTTTCTTTCTGTTCCCTTTTAGGCCTGAGCTAATTGGAATTCATAATTTTGGGTGGTCAATTTCATATAGCTACACTACATACCTGAATAGAGTACTGCTCCCTGGAAAAGCATGGTTAGACTAGAAATCACTTGACAGAGATCAGATCGAGGATTTCCTATAGATACAAGAACGATTCGGTTGTGTTCAGCTGCATAGATCCGCAAACAGTACATCAACTGATAACTAGAGATCGGTTCCAACCCATCACATGGATCTTCCACTACCAGCAACACTGCAAACAGTTTGACTGACTATTTACTCGAAACGACTTTCGCCTTACTCATAGTTCCTCAGTGACAGCTTACTAAATCCAATGGTTACGTAGTAAATCAGAATTGGAAATGGTCACCTGGGTCCTTGATGAGAGCATAAGCAAGGAGAGCCCGTCTCTGAGCACTGACGGATAAATGCTGAAGTTTTTCATGGCTATATCCCAATAGGTCGAATTGTCGCATCAACATATGCACCTGAAAAGTCAATCCAGAGTTCACCAATCTAGGTAGTCCAAGGCCTTTTCCCAGAAAGTCGGTTTACCCTTTTGTCGATTTTCTCCGCTGACAGGGATCTGCCGAACGTCAGTGTTGCTGTGTAGAAGAGGAATGAGTGTACTGTCATGAAACCGGGGCATCTGTGACGCCCCGATAAAAAGGAGCATAACTTTTGAAATCGATCACCTGCAATCTTTGTTATTGATTTGGGCATAACCACTTTCGAATTACTAGTTCAGATGTTCTACGGGGTCATAGGACACTGGTTCTGTTGTGACCACGACCACCTTCCCGCCTAAATAGTGATCTCATTGGGGTATATAAACCCCTCGATTGTAGTTATGTTCAGTTTACTCTCTAGTAAGTATTCCATCTGCTGCCTGCTACCTCGGACGCAACATCAGAGAAGCAGTGAACGATAAGGAAGGGATTTGATCCAGGAAATGAGGTATACCCTAATATCCGAACAGTCTTGAAGACCTTGCAGGATTAGTCACCGTCTGGGAGGCTAGTAGACGTATCTAGGGCTCCAATAAAAGGGTAAAAAAAGGGAGTTGGAAGAGAATACGACGAAAAAAAGCTGCATGAAAGGTGTATTTGAACGTGCTATCTAAATGTGTGTACCATTGCGTATAGCTGCCTACGGTTAGCTGCATGAGTGCAAGGGGTGCGTCCTGGTGCGAATGGTGCAACTTCTACAGCCTCTGCAACGCCGTAACATCTCGTCCGTCTGTAGATGTGTACACCGGTCAAGCAGGTTTCGAGTTGCGCCCCTCTATTACATTTTTCGACTCAACAGCGTCCTTTGTGTTATCCTTAGCTTCCAAGAGAAAAACCTCAAAAATTTTTTTTTCTTGAAGTGTGTCTTAATGTAGATTTTCATTGACAAGGTTTCTATCTTCTTCGTCGCAAAATTACTTCAAGGATGTGATTAGTTGTGAAATACGATTTCGAGTTGGATCGAATAGAAAAAAGCGTAACAACAACGAAATCCCTTGATAAAGAGCGATAAAATATAGAGTAGACTCTCATTTAAGAAGCTATTTGAAGGAATTGGTCATGTTGAACTCACGATTAAGAACGAAGTTGTTAAGCTGTATGCTGCCTGCTGTGTCACCATCTGCTGTACCGCTAATGATCTCTAGAAGCAGATTCCTGCCGCTATCTGTGCAGTACATGCTTATGATTAACGTCATTGTAATACTTTGATGGTAACATAATATCACACACAAAATCCTTTTTTTNTTTTTTTATCTATACAATACAAAAGAAGGAGGTGGTGTAGTGGCAATTGGCCCACTTTATATTATACACACACATGATCACGGGTTCGAATTCCGGGACCATATCCGCCAATCTTTCTTGCGGATTGGAGATTTCTATGTTCAGAGAACCTACCTTCATTGCCAACCAAAGCATGGACCTCTCCGGAAACAACCTCAAAAGACACGTCCCTCACCAAACTGACAACCTGCGGTGGTGAGATTAAGCGAGAACACCTGAATAAGTTTGAACCTCTAAGCCGAAATACGCTCATACTTGTACTTCATGCTCGCCTATACAACACTCACCCTGACCCTTCGGGTACTGCGCATGTGAAGGTGACGTTGCGGACTTCTAGGATATGCGACCCAGACCTGCGGCAGACCATCTGCTCAACGTCACGTCACCCTTTATTGAGACTAATAAAGCGATTTTTCTCCAGGCTACAGATGGTTTTCGAAATTATCCTGGAACTGGGAAGGAGGTTCAACGTTTAATTTTATGAATAATTTCGAGGTAGCAAATGAAGCACGGGTAGTAGTGATAAGCGATAAAAGGAACAGTTTATCCGGTGTGGTGCAGTAGGAACGGAAGGTGCGTCGCGGCGAGAGCTAAGCCGCGCGCGAAGGAATGTAGCAGAATGCAGCAGCAAGTAAGAAATTAAGGAACAAAAGAACTAATACTAGAATCATGCCATAAGTAATAATTGCATGAGCTGAATGAAGAACTCTAAAAGTGTTATAACGAAGCAAATGGTCCTCGACGGCCGTGTGCGGCGGATTGGTTGCACAAAACCGTTCCTCCTGCCCGTCTCCCGAGTTAATCAAGTTAATATGTGGGTCATTGTGAAATGCATTGATTGCTGTACCACTGACCGTGTTAGTAGAAAGTTTAGCGATTAGAGGCCTGCAGAGTTCAAAGTCTCTTCTTTCTCAATCGAAACAAATCCAGCCCTACTTAGTGAGCCATGGGGCAGCAAAATACAATGACTGTGATTCAAGATTAATCCTACTGCTTTCACATTTATTTGACTTCTCCCTTTCAAGCAACTCTGTAAGTAAGTTCTATCCATACGTTGAAGTTACGACTGCGGTTAGTTCTCATGCTCTCTTACTTCTTTGAGCTATCTTGGAAGTCAATTGGCAGCTGCTGTTAAGTCAAAATTGGTGACTGCAATGTCTGTCTTTCTGCCAAAGGGCATCTCATAAGCTTTTCCGATATGCTTCTGCTCAATAATGAAGTTAAAATAATATATTTGCACGATATTTGATTTTTTCTAAGGGCTTGGTATTGTGCAGTAGCTAGCAGGATTTCGACTGACTCCACGATGAAACATGCTCCCTATCATTTACTCATCTAGAAAATATGTTCAAACCTTGATTAGCCTTGGAGGAACAAAAAGCCTTCGTCGAAAGATCACGGTCAAGAATACCTCATTTCATCCCTCACTATCTTAGGCCAAGGTCGCCTACCTCTTTAGTGGAGGAATCTCATTACAAAGTATGAACCAATCGTTTCAATGGGACTACTTCAAAGAGCTGACATAACGCCATTTAAATCAGATGTTCCCATAAACAAGTCCTTTTCATGAACCAAGAAGCTTGGTTACTCCTATGGGGTTTTTCCTTCAGATACCATGATCGTGCACACTCCCTGATCACATCAGTAGGTTGTGAACCGATCCCGCTTCATCATCAAAAAAATCCTCCTCCCTGAAAACTCCACGGCAGTATCGGTTCAATGGCTCTCTATGAGTTACATCCGTACAACTTCCTCTCGAAGGTGAAAGTTCGATGACAATAGGTTCACTGAAGTATAGGTAATTACGACATTTGTCGGGGAATGTGGCGTAGCGAACCACCGACAGCAACGAGGACTGAAGAAGAAGGATCAGCCGAGAATCTTCTACAGTAAATACTCATTTGTGGTGAATAAACATAAGTTGTAATCCGGGAATTAGTGCACAACGGAGAGAAGTATGGCAGGCAAGGAATGGAGGAGATACGGTACAATGTGCTCGAAAATTCCAATAAAAATTGGTCCAATCACCTAGATCAACTTCAAAAGATTTTCAAGAAGTGCCGAGAAATTTCTCCACAGAAAATGTCGAATAGATTGGATGAGTGAAACAAACAGCACCCTACCAGTTAATCAAGAAACGCAGTAATTCAAAAGTGTTACCATAGATCGGCTTGGCCGATTCAATACTGTGTTCCCTATCATTATCTGGAATTAACGATGAGGCACCTGTCCCTAGAGCGGCTTATTTATGAACGAATGGGACGGAAAAACTGAAGTCTCATCATTAAAGGACGGCTAGTAAACAACATGCAAAGAGGACAAAAGAAAAGCGATCTGTTTCATAAGAGTTGCCTAGTTCAGTTGAATAAGGTCAG